GGAAAGCAGTATGGAGGTTCCTCAAAAAATTCAATATAGAAATACCATTTGACCCAGGAATTCCACTCCTAGGAATTTACCCTAAGAATACAGGATCCCAGATTCAAAAAGACATATGTATCCCTATATTTATGACAGCACTATTTACAATACCTAAGATATGGAAGCATCCTAAGTGTCTATCAGTAGATGAACGGATAAAGAAGATGTGGTACATATACACAATGGAATATTATTCAGCCATTAGAAGAAAACTAATCCTGCCATTTGCAACAACATGGATGGAGCTAGGAGGGTATTATGCTCAGTAAAATAAACCAGGCAAAGAAAGGCAAGTACCAAATGACTTCATTCATTTGTGGAGTATACAAAGCAAAACTAAAGGAAAAAAATAGCAACACACTCACAGACTCCAAGAAGGTAATAGTGGTTACAAAGGGGGGAGGGTTGGGGAGGGTGGGTAGGGAGGATGAAGGGGATTAAGGGGGCACTATAATTCGCAATCACAATATAGGTAGGTCACAGGGAAGGCAGTACAGCACAAAGAACACAAGTAATGACTCTACATGCATCTTACTATGCTGACAGTGACTGCAATGGAGGGTGGTGAGGACTTGGTAATACGGGTGAATGTTGAAACCACAATGTCATTCATGTGAAACCTTCACAAGATTGCATATCAATGATACTGTAATAAAAAAATAAATAAAAGAAAATAAAAAAAGCAAAGGGGTTGGAAAACTTTTTCTTTACAGGCCACATATGTTGTGTGCTGCATATTCACCATTTTTTCAAAGCCCTTTAAAAATGTGAAAGCCTTACTCTAGGGCAGTAAAAAACAGGATATGGGGGGAGGGGAAAAAAGACAGTGGTGTGAGAAGTGTGGCAGAAGCACCTCCCAAAACTATATATATTTTGAAAATACAGCAAGTACAACTATTCCTAAAAGAGTGATCAGAAGTAAGAATGCAACAGTTAGTCTACATCTGGGAGAAGTGAACATCTCAGGGAAAAGGGTAATGTAAAAAAGCTGTGACCTGGCGGGACCCGAGCACTCCCCCCACCCCAGCTCACTGGCGGGAGGAAGAGAATCAGAGCAGGTAGAGAGTGCAAGCACAGGTCTGCTAAATACCCAGCCCTAAAATCTACCCTGGGAGCACAGACACACATTGCATGGTGCTCTGGAGATTAGAGGGCCTGAAAACCAAAGTCAGAAACTAAGACTGTGAATAGGTTCCCACAACCTGCTGCCCTGGGACAAAAGAAAAGCAGGCGCTTTGAAAGACTTCTCAACAGTCAGAAGGCTGCTAAAGGGGTAAGGGTTTAGGAGAAGGAACAGGTGGACAAAATCAGCCCAGCCCACCCAGCCCAGCAGGTTGGGAACTTCCAGGACTTTAGGCGCTCCATCTCCCCAGTTGGCAATGCAGCCCCGAGATCCCCCCCTGCAATAAGCAGCCTGCTGCTCCTTCCTCCCCACCAGTACCTGCATGCAAAGCCCCTGTCCACGCCATTGCTGCAGACCAGCCGGAAGGCAGCCCTGCCTACAGCAACTACAGAGCTTAATGCAGAGGCTTTTCCCTGCACGTGGCTGACCAGCCTAGACACCAGAGACAGGTATGGCGACCAGGAAGCATGAAACAACTTCCTGCAAACAACTGTGCTGCTTGCCTGTGACTTCTTCCATGGCCCTAGGCCATCCCACCCACAGCAGCTTAGGGGATTAGCCCAGAGGCCGCTCCTGGGGTGCAGCTAACCAGCTCAGAAAGCAGAGAGAGACACTGCAACCAGGAAGCACAAAAGGTCTTTGTTCTC